TTAACTTTTAGAAAAGACGGATACATCCTTTTTTTACATAATCTCCTTGATTTTCATTTCAGTTTTTCCATCTATCAATAAAGCTTTTGTATTCCCTTATTAAGACATGTCTTAGGCAGAGCTGTGAGCCACGAATGCACTGCTATCTTTACTTCTTCATCAGAGGTGAATCTTCATCCTGGAACAGCTGCTTTCAGTGGACCAAGCAGGTAAAGTCTGATGGAGCAAGATCAGGACTATAGAGAAGATGCTTTAAATACCTTAAAATTAGTTTTTTACAGAGTGTCAATAGTGTGGGCGTAGGTGTGTGGATGCACATTGTCATGCAAGCTCACAATGCCCTTGGATAACAGTCCTCTGCATTTAATCCAAATTTTAGGCTTCAGCTTTTCAGTGAGCATATCACTGAAGGAAAAATGTTGATTGTTGAAACTTTTTCCTGATAATGTTCCAGTTCTGCCCTTTTGACCTTGAGTGGTTTAGCATTGTAGAGTATGCTCTCTAGTGTTGTCATTCTTACACCTATTATTGTTTTTGTTAAGTGCTGTTGAGTAGATTCCGACTCATAGTAACCCTGTAGAGAGTTTCCTAGGAGTAGCTGGTGAGGTTGAACCAGTGACCTTGCAGTTCAAAGGATTTGCAGTCTGGCGCATTAGCCCACAGCACCACACCAGGACTCCTATCTATTGCTTGACTGAAAATTGAGCCTTGGGGATATATGTTGGTCACTTGTTTGAGGCAGTCTATTTTGTTTCTTCATGTAAGCTGAATAGGTCTGTTTTCTCTTAGACATTGTGGTGTTGAATTTATATTTAATTGATTACTGTATATTGATTTGTTCTCAGGAATGCACTACCTGTCTTTTAGTGGATGTGGTAGAAACTGGGAATACCAACACCATTTTCTCTTTACTCTGGGTTCGTGCACCTCCAGAGTCGGAAGCTATGCCCAGCACCTGACACTGAATAAGAGAAGTGGCTGTGTAGGAGGGGTGCTACTGGGTTACACAGGGCACAGACTGGCTATACCCTAAGCTATCCTGAGGGCACAGGAACAAGAGAGAACTAGACCCTCTCACCTCACTGCTAGTCTTTAGTCTTGTTGTGTGCCCGCAGTCCATTGTTATCAGTAGCCACTCAGAAAAAACAAAGTTACCATGCCAGCCTGTAATCAGCTGGCTTTTTTCCTCTGTTACTGTTACTGTTCAGCTACCCCTTTCAACTACACTCAGTCCATCTCTCTGTCCTATTCTATGAAGCTCAGAGCTCCAGGATTACTACTTGTATCTATTACACTGTTTCCCGTGTTTTTGTTGTGGAGTGTTGGCTTAGTGTGTCTCGCTACGTTACTGTCTTGCCCTGGAAGCACCCTCGTTTGATTTCTTGACTGCTGCTTCCATGGGTGTTGATTATAGACCCAACTTAAAAGCGTCAATCTTTATTCCATTTATCATACTGCTATTTATTGGTCCAGTTATAAGGATTTTTTTTTTATATTAAATTGTGATC